AGGTCAAAGTTGGGGTTCCTATATGGAGGGAACTTTGTCCTTATGGGAGTTTCCTTGGTTGGGGACTCTCTTGGGACCTTCCCTCTCATCCCTCTCTTCTAATTCGAACCTTTCTCTTGCTCCTCTAATTCCTTGTGAGATTCTCGAACCTTGATTGAAGTTTGAGATTGAGCTAAGTTCTTCTCCTATAGCACACCCCCCTGTGCGTCGAAATACATAGCGTCGTGAATACTCCATCAATCAACGTGATTCAAATTGGGAACGGTAGCTGAGATTATGAGCTACAAAAGATCTGGGTTACGCGACATTTCAACGGCTAGTTTTTGTCGACAACGTTTATTCTGAAATCGACGAACCTGTTCAGAATTGCGGATTCCTTTTTTAGTATTTCTAGCTCCAAAGTTCACCTAGACTCCATCCTTAATCCCAGCAAGTGGTATCAGAGCAATATTGAAGACATTGAGAGGAGTCTACAGAAGTGTGAAGACTCTTCTAGACCCACCATGGCCTGTGGGTGTGCCTAAGTGGTGTCCTAAAGGTTGGATGTGACTTCCGCTAAGAGGAAACTCTGCCGAAATTTTGTGGACGCCGACACTTGTGAAAATATCGAGGGAGTTGTGTGTGGACAGCAAAGGGGAGCTGAAATTCATCATTTCTCAAGGAGAAGATGAATGAGAGAGGAGGAGATGCTAATGGAAGAGGAGCTGTACCTGAGAAGACAAGTGAGCCGCCACCATCCAAAGTTGAAGCTTTGGATGGCTCCAACTATGAGGAATGGAGTGGACGGATGAGGAGTGCCTTCAAACACAACAAGCTACTAAAGATTGATGTTTGGGAGGAGAAGATGCCGGTAGAAGGCGAAGCACGTGAACGGTGGATTGAGAAAAGCGCGGTGCTTTTCGACCTCATCCTTCAATCGGTCAACAAGGAGATGTTCGAGCACATCAAGGATCTTGTGGATGCGGATTATTCGGGTCCAAGGGCGTGGAAACTACTACGTGATGTGATTCAGCCCAACAATCTCCCGATGGTGATCGTGCTTGAGAAGGAACTTGCTGCCATCTCCATGCGACCAAGGGACGATGTGAAACCGGTCCTTGACAAGATCAAGGACACCTATGCAAGGATGGCAGCAGCGGGCAGCAGTGTATCTCAGCTGCAGCAGTGCACCAAGATCATCTCGGTGTTGGAAAACTCTTGGGACAACCTCATCCCCACCCTCAACTCTCAGCAAGATCAAGGGACACCTGAGTGGCTAAGGCAGCAAATTCTGCAGGAGGACTTCCGCAAACGTCATGTGGGAGATGGTGCTTCCACTAAGACTGCTGAGAGGTATGGAGTTGCAGGGTGCGGCAGAGGAAGAGGGGGTTGGAGAGGCCGAGGCCGTGGGAGGAGCTTTGGCAGAGGAAGAGGCCGAGGTGACTACAATAAGGGGCATGGGAGCTCTGGTGGCAAGGGGAGTACCAGAATGGAGGGCACCTGCTGGTTCTGCAAGAAAGTCGGGCATTCTTGGTTCAAGTGCTTCAGCAGGCCGGAGGGATGGGCACCTCCATGCATGAAGCCGCCAAGTGGTGAACGCGCACAAGGTGGCAATGTGCAAAGCTCAGGTGCACAAGGTAATGCCTATCCTAGGATGTTTCTCGTGGTTGAGGATGTGCATGGGCATGAGTGTTATGTGGGATATGTGGGAAAGGTTGTGATGCATCCTCTCACACACTGGGTAATTGCCTCAGGTTGCACCAGTGACATGACCCCACAGGCAGATTTGCTTGATGAGGTAAACCCCCTGGGAAGATAAAGTATGGGGCAGCAGCATCCAGGACTTTGCTCCTTGTGATGGGTGATGGGAATGCCAAGGTTAAGGGAGCTAATGAGGAGCTTGTAGGGCTTGGGAATGTTATGTTGGTTGAAGGTTTGTCTGCTAACCTTCTCTCTGTGCGGCGACTGCAGAAGAGCAAGGCCGAAGTGACCTTTAGACCAACCAGCTGCTGTGCTAAGCTTGGGAAGAATTTGCTGTGGAGTCTGGAAGAGAAGACCAGCTGCATCAAGGATCTGTGGCAGCTGCCCATCATCCCTTGGAATGGGAAGATTCCAATAGCAGCAACGGCAGCAGCGGCAAAGGCAATAGCAAGAGGAGATGCAACTGCACCAGCTGATGGGGTCCTGGAAGCAGTTAAGAAAGTGCAGCAGCAGCAGACACATGGTGAGGTGCTTGCTGATGTGGATGCGAGTGCGGCATGGGCTGAGGCTTTATGAAGAAGTGGTGAAGCCGATTCCGAGACATGGCATGAGAGGCTGTGTTATGTGAAATTCCCTGTGCTGCAGAAGTTGGTGAAGGATGGGAGCCTCAAAGTATTGGAGGTCAAGGGGGGAGTGAAGGAGATTGGGAAATGCCCTACATGCTTAAAGACCAAGTTCTCCAAGTTCCCCTTCAACAGCACTATAGGACCAGCCAAGACCCCACTTGAACTTGTGCACATGGATGTGGTGGGGCCCACAAGAGCCCCTTCCCTCTCAGGCGACCGCTATTTCTTGACAATTGTGGATAACCACACTCGAGCAGTGTTGGTTTACCCTTTGAAGAGCAAGCAAGAAGTTGGAGGATTCTACAACATGGGATGTGCACTTCTTACTGTGTCTTCTCTCTCTTGATTGTGTCTTCCCTCACTTGACTGTGTCTTCCCTCACTTGAGTATTTCATCTCTCAATTGAGTGTGTCTTCCACCACTTGAGCGTGTATTCCCTCTCTTGAGTGTGTCTTCCTTCACTTGAGTGTGGTTTCCCTTACTTGAGTGTGCCTTTTCTCACTTCAATGTGTCATTTATCACTTGAGTGTATCTTCCCTAACTTGAGTGTGTCTTTCCTCACTTGAGTGTGTCTTCCCTCAATTGAGTGTGTATTCTCTCACTTGATTGTGACTTCCCTCACTTGCAGTGTGTCTTCCCTCTCTTGAGTGTGTCTTCTCTCACTTGGAGTGTGTGTTCTCTCACTTGAGTTCGTCTTCCCTCACTTGAATGGGTCTTCCCTCACTTGAGTGAATCTTCCCTCACGTGAGTGTGTCTTCCCTCAATTGAGTGTGTCTTCTCTCACTTGATTGTGACTTCCCTCACTTTTAGTGTGTCTTCCCTCTCTTGAGTGTGTCTTCTCTCACTTGGAGTGTGTGTTCTCTCACTTGGGTTCGTCTTCCCTCACTTGAATGGGTCTTCCCTCACTTGAGTGAATCTTCCCTCACGTGAGAGTGTCTTCCCTCACTTGAGTGTGTCTTCCCTCACTTGGGTGTGTATTCCCTCTCTTGAGTGTGTCTTCTCTCACTTGAGTGTGTCTTCTTTTACTTGAGTGTGTCTTTCCTTACTTGAGTGTGGTTTCCCTTACTTGATTGTGTCTTTCCTCACTTGAAGTGTGCCTTCCCTCACTTGAATGTATCTTCCCTCACTAGACGTGTGTCTTCCCTCACTTGAGTGTGTCTTCCTTCACTCGGAGTGTGTCTTCTCTCACATGAGTGTGTCTTCCCTCACGTGAATGGGTCTTCCCTAACTTGAGTGTGTTTTCCCTCACTTGAGTGTGTCTTCTCTCACTTGAGTGCGTCTTCTCTCACTTTTGTGTGTGTTCCCTCACTTGAGTTTGTCTTCCCTCACTTGAGTGTGGTTTCCCTTACTTGGAGTGTGTGTTCTCTCACTTGTGTGTGTCTTCTCTCACTTGGAGTGTGTGTTCTCTCACTTGAGTGAATCTTCCCTCACGTGAGAGTTTCTTCCCTCACTTGAGTGTGTCTTCCCTCACTTGAGTGTGTCTTCCCTCAATTGAGTGTGTCTTTTCTCACTTGAGTGTGTGTTCCTTCACCTGAGTTTTTCTTCCCTTAATTGAGTGTGTCTTACGTCACTTGAGTATGTCTTCTCTTACTTGATTGTGTCTTCCCTCACTTGAGTGTGTCTTCCCTCACTTGAGTGTGTCTTCTCTCACTTGAGTGTGTCTTCCACCACTTGAGCATGTATTCCCTAACTTGAGTGTGTCTTCTCTCACTTGAGTGTGTCTTGTGTCACTTGAGTGTGTCTTCCCTTACTTGAGTGTGGTCTCCCTTGAGTGTGTCTTTCCTCACTTCAGTGTGTCTTTTCTCACTTGAGTGATTCTTCCCTCACGTGAGAGTGTCTTCCCTCACTTGAGTATGTCTTCTCTCACTTGAGTGCGTCTTCTGACTTTAGTGTGTCTTCTCTCACTTGAGTGTGTCTTTCCTCTCTTGTGTGTGGTTTCCCTTGAGTGTGTCTTCGCTACCTTGAGTGTGTCTTTTCTCACTTGAGCGTATCTTCCCTCACGTGAGTGTGTCTCCCCTCACTTGAAGTGTCTGTTCCCTTACTTGATTGTATCTTCCCTTACTAGAAGTGTGTCCTCCCTCAATTGAGTGTGTCTTCCCTCAATTGAGTGTGTCTTCCCTCACTTGAGTGTGTCTTCCCTCACTTGGAGTGTGTCTTTGTTGGTGCAACCCTATGGCTTGCACTCGGCTTGTCGTCCTTGTTTGTGTGTGTGCATGCATGGCATGGAATGAATTGTGAGTCTATGTCATTGCTATCCAGTGCTTGTGTGTGTGTTTGAATGGTGTATCACAATGTGGTTTGTGTCGGTCAAGACATTAGCGACTTTTTACAACTCGCATGTCAAGTCGTCGTTTGTGTGTCGCATGTGTTATTTCTATTTTGTCGAGTGTGAAGTGTCCATCGTGTTGCAGGTGTGTGCAGCAAGCCCCCATCAACTCAAGAATAATTTATCTTGCAGAACCAAGACCAAGAGCTCAATATTTCAAGCCCAAGGGACGCGGATAAATATTAAATAGTGGAAATAGTAACGCTACTTCGTCTAGTGTTACATTTCACTTGGTGTAGCCCCTTAGAGGGTTGGTTTCGAGACTCTTTGTGGTTTGGGACCCTGTGGTGGTGTACCACCAACCTGGACCTCGGCTCTTGGGGTATGTAGAGGCTGGGAACCATCTCCCTCTCGAATTCTTCTTCCTAAGTTTTTTTGTACTCCTAAGACTATAGTGGCTGCTGTACCTCCTGCCAGTCAAACTGCCATAGCGTCGTCAAATCTTCATGGAATTTCATGATTCAACTTGCTGCTGATAGACGACAGCATTGCGCTCCAGATCCAATTTACAGATCACCATTAAAGTCAGCGAGCAGATCGTTATCAATATTTGAAGCCGTCTGACGGAAATCCGACTGTGCTCTCTATCTCTCATTATTGGCACATCTGAGCCTATTGTGACTATAACAAGTGGTATCAGAGCCCCTTGGAGCTGTCTCGACCATGCCTAGGCCTGAGGAAGGGGGTGGCAGAGGTGCTGGAGGCAGAGAAGCTGCCCAAGCACAAGGCCAACACCAAGATCCACCCGTTGCTCCGGTGCAACCTAGACTTGGACCCTCTAGGGGTGAGCCTAGAGTGTTTGGCCTTGACAAGTTCAACGGTGACAACTTTGCTGAGTGGTCTTTCAAGATGGAGAACATCTTTGACCACTATGATCTGCTGGAGGTGATGGAAGGAACGGAGAAGCGCCCCGAGAACGACCCGGAGAAGAGCCCGTGGGTGCGGAAGAGCGCACAAGGCTACCTTCTACTTGGGCAAGCGTTGGGGAGCAGCCAAATCCGTCACATCAAGCCTTTTCAGCGTGAACCAGCAAAGGGACCAAAGGCATGGGCTGCTCTCAAGGGTGTACACGCTCCTGCAACAGCGGCGGTGGCTGTGGTTTTGGAGCGGCAAATGGCGGCACTTTGAATTGACGAAGGTGAATCGGTGGAGGAAGGAGTGCAGAAATTCTTCGACTTGTTGACATGCCTCGAAGGAGCTGATCTGAACTACAGTGACCTTCAAAAGAAGACCAAGCTGCTGGCCTTACTTCCAGACTCATGGTCCTCGCTCATCATCAACCTAAATCGAGATCTGCCCCGACTCTCACTCGAAGATGTGAAGCGGGAAATCTTACAAGAAGATTTCCGCCGACGCGAATTGGCGGGTCCCGATGGTGCCGGAGTTGCAAGCATGGGCTGTGGGCACGGCCGTGGAAGGGGCAGAGGGCGAGGAGGCAGATTTGGCAGCAGTAACTTCAGTGGAGGCCGTGGTAATGGAGGATATGGCACAGCAACAACAACAACAATGGCTACGGGCGTGGGCGCGGTCGATTTGATGGCGAATGCCACTTTTGCCACAAGACCGGCCACATGTGGAGAGATTGCTTCAGATTGCCTGATGGATGGACCCCTTCTCAAGGCCAAGAGGGCAGAGGAGCAAGGGGAGGAAGAGGCAGAGGTCGTGGAGGCCGTGGTGGCCGTGTAGGTGAAGCGGCAAGCATGAAAGGTGGAGACTACGACAAGGACTCGAGTGAAGATCGATACCCGGGCCAATTCTTCTTTGTCTCCACGCAAGCGGCAGCTGCAGCAGGAGGTGTGGATGGCTTTAAGGAGCCAGCTACTGTGGGAAAGGTCACCCTTCACTCTCTGGACTTTTGGGTGATCGATAGCGGCGCCACCTATAGCATGACACCTCGTGCGGACTTGCTCACCGAACTCGAACCGTCGCCGGTCAAGCATGTTATATCGGCTTTGGGGCAGCGAGCAGAGGTGAAAGGCATGGGCAAGGCCATGTTCAAGGGTGCTGATGGGAAGATGGTGGGCCTCAAGAACGTGCTTTGGGTGCCCAATCTAGCAGCCAACCTGATCTCTGTTCGGCTTTTGCAAAAGGCCAGCATGGACACATCTTCCAAGGGCTCCAAAACATATACCGCGCGGCTTGGTGAGCGGAAGCTTTGGGACCTTCATGAGGACAGGGACATCTACAATGAGATGTGGCAAATCCCAGTGGTCCCCATGCCTAAGGAGAGGCAAGTGGCAGCAAGCATCAGCACCAAGATTGAAGCGGTTGGTGGGGTTGATCACGGAAAGCAAAGTGACACCAAGAGTGATTCGAAAGAGTGCAATCTTGGAGAGACCAGCAAGGCGTGTGAATCCAAGGAGAGTGGTGCAGCAGCCAAAGGTGGTGGAAATGAGGAGGAGAATCCTAAGATCAGTAAAGCAGCAGTGGCGAAGGAGAAAGGAGAGAGCTCGTGGGGCACAATTGCGAGTGCCGCTTTCTCCAACCTGACTTCCGCTATGGGAGAGTGTGATTGGCTGACCTTGCATCGGCGAATGGGGCATGTGGCATTGCCCATTTTGCAGCAGATAGTTAAGCAAGAGATGGTCAGTGGAATACGTGTCCAACATGCATGCAAGCCAAGTTCACTCGCTACCCGGTCCATAGCTCGGAGACAACGGCGAAGGCACCACTTGATGAGGTGGTGATGGATGTGGTGGGCCCCTTGAAGCTTGGAGCTGCTGGAGCAGAGTACTTCCTCACCATTGTGGACGTCTACACTCGCATGATGCTGCCCAAGAAGAGTGACGTAGCTGAAACGGTGAAGACCGATTGGTTGCCGATGGTGGAGCGGCAACAAGACCGACTTGTGAAGGCTATTTGCACTGACCGTGGGGGAGAGTTCCTGAGCAAGGATTTCTCAAATTGACTGAAGAAGCAGGGCATAAGGCACTCTCTTACCATGCCCTACTCTCCTGCAATGAACGGCATCGCCGAGCGTGCGAATCGGACACTCACGGAGACGGCTCGGGGACTTCTCATTGAAGCCGGTCTTCCCAATTATTTTTGGCCGGATGCGGTGCGGCATGCTTGTGTGGCCAAGAACAGAGCCTTGACTCATGTGGGAGAAGACAAATGGGTGCCCTATGTGGAGTGGATTGGAAGGAAGCCGAAGGTGGATATGCTTCGGATGTTCGGGGTGGCTTCTTTGGGACCCATTTACCAGGAAGTTCTTGGTGAGCAGAGATTGCAAGTTCATGGAGAACTTGGCGTACAAGGAGTGGAAGGCGGAGAATCAAGCGAAGATTGGTGTGCGGCTTGGAGAGGTGAAGAGTACCGGCTTGGAGCATGTGGAGCTGCCCTTGGAGCTGAGTAGCAGCAGCACAATCACGAGGCAATCTCCTCAAATGAATGGGGGTGAGGAGGAGGAGGAGGTGCAGCAAGATGATGAGCGTGCACCATCACTTCCGCCTCGTGCTACAAGTGCTCGTGGGAACCGACCAGATTTACCGCAACGCCATGAGAGCATTCAAGTCCCTGCAGCAGAGCAGGAAGGAAGGGGGAGAAGGAGGACTCAGCCCCCTAATAGGTTGAGCTATGACCGGCTTGGAGGACCAGCCAACTCAACCTTGACCGGTTCGGCTCTCATGCTAGGCGATGATGCGGAAGATGAAAGCGAGGAGTGCGCCTTTGCCTTCTTCTCTCCGGTGGAGATGCCGGGGGAGCCTACAAATCCCAATGAGGCTTGGGAGGGCCCCAATGGGAAGGAGTGGAAGAAGGCCTCAGATGAAGAAATGGGGAGCATCATAGAGAATGACACATTTGACTTGGTGAACCTACCTCCGGGGCGGAAGGCGATCTCTTCGAAGTGGCTCTTCAAGCGCAAGACCGACGCCGACGGCAACATCGAGCGCTACAAGAGCAGACTTGTAGCCAAGTGGTATCAGCAGCAAGAGAAGAAGGAGTACAATGAAGTGTATGCCCCTGTGGTGAAGGGTACAACCAGTCGAACCCTCTTCGCCGCGGCGGCCATCAAAGGATGGGTGGTGAAGCAAATGGATATAGTAACGGCCTTCCTCAACGGCGTTTTGGAGGAAGAGACTTACATGGAGCAGCCAGAGGGGTACAATGATGGGAGTGGCAGAGTGTGGAAGCTGAAGAAAGCACTCTATGGCCTCAAGCAAGCCCCTAGGCAATGGTACATCAAGCTGCGGGAAGTCTTGGAGGCGATCGGCTTCACTCCCTCAACGGCCGATCAATCCTTGTTCATGCTTGGCGAGGGGGAGCAGAGGAGCTTCATGGTGGTTTATGTGGATGACATCCTCATATTCTCACCCTCCTCTGACCTTGTGAAGGAGGTGATGCTGAAGTTTCAAGACAAGTTCAAGTGCAAGACCCTAGGTGACGTCAACTACTTCCTTGGGCTTCACATTGAGCGAGATGTGGAGAAGCGGTGGATGCGAGTGCATCAAAAGAAGTACTTGGAGGCATTGGCTGCAAACTTTGGGAAGAGTGAAGGTCATGTGGCTACTCCTCTTCCCTCAGGGTTCAAGTGTGTGAAAGGACCAGCGGAGGAAAGTGTTGGTGAAGAGGAGAGGCGCCGTTTTCATTCCTTGGTGGGCAGCCTCATGTATGCCGCCGTTCACACAAGGCCGGATGCAGCCTTTGCTACCGGGCAGCTGGCTAGGGTTGTCCAATGCCCTACTGAAGAGCAGGTAGCAGCTGGAGAGAGGGTGGCCAAGTACCTTGGCCAAACAGCAACTGTTGGACTGCAATACTCCGCGGCGGCACAAAGGCGTCAAAAGGGTGCGGATGGAGTCGAACCCGGGAGGCTCTTTCTCACCGCCTTCTCTGATGCATCTTGGGCATCAAAACCAGAGGATATGACAAGTGTGAGAGGCTTCATCTGCTCTGTTGGTGGAGGCCCAACAGCTTGGGAGAGCAAGAAACAAGTGGACCAAGCATTGAGCTCGGTGGAGTCCGAGTACATGGCACTCTTCCGTGCCATAAGAGAGGTTGTGTGGCCGCGGCGTTTGCTAGCTGAATTGGGGGAGGAGCAGCAAGGACCTACCCCACTCTACTGTGATAGCCAGGGTGCTATTGCATTGGCAAATAACCCCGTTCTTCATGGCCTTACCAAGCACATGAAGGTGAAATGGCATTGGGTGAGGAGCATGGTAACCGCGGGTGAAGTGGAGTTGCACTACGTGAAGACGACGGCGCAGCCTGCTGATATGATGACTAAGTGGCTGGTTGAGCAGCAGCATTGGAAGTGTTGCAAGCTTGCTGGGATGGCTCTGAACTAAGAGGAGCAGATTCTAAGGCCAACAATCCGAGGGGGAGTTTGTTGGTGCAACCCTATGGCTTGCACTCGGCTTGTCGTCCTTGTTTGTGTGTGTGCATGCATGGAATGAATTGTGAGTCTATGTCATTGCTATCCAGTGCTTGTGTGTGTGTTTGAATGGTGTATCACAATGTGGTTTGTGTCGGTCAAGACATTAGCGAGTTTGTGTCGGTCAACTCGCATGTCAAGTCGTCGTTTGTGTGTCACATGTGTTATTTCTATTTTGTCGAGTGTGAAGTGTCCATCGCGTCGCAGGTGTGTGCAGCAAGCCCCCATCAACTCAAGAAGAATTTATCTTGCAGATCCAAGACCAAGAGCTCAAGATTTCAAGCCCAAGGTACGCGGATAAATATTAAATAGTGAAAATAGTAACGCTACTTCGTGTAGTGTTACATTTCACTTGGTGTAGCCCCTTGGAGGGTTGGTTTCGAGACTCTTCATGGTTGGGGACTCTGTGGTAGTGTACCACCAACCTTGACCTCGGCTCATGGGGTATGTAGAGGCTGGGAACCATCTCCATCTCGAATTCTTCTTGCTAAGTTTGTACTTCCAAGACTATAGTGGCTGCTATACCTCCTGCCAGTCAAACCGCCATAGCGTCGTCAAATCTTCATGGAATTTTATGATTCAACTTGCTGCTGATAGGCGACAGCAACGCGCTCCAGATCAAATTTACAGATTTGCTTAAACCTCTCCCTTGCAGATTCGCTTTTCCGTTTCGGAGGCATCTCGAGGATACGACCAACCCAACACATCTCGAGCCATTTCAGAACCTCCTATAGTGGCACCGTCATCATCCACTACGCAGTCATCTGCTGCGCCTACACCCTTTACACCCGCTAAACGCAAGACATTCGATTAAGGTAACTTTAATGAGATTTGTTTGTCGATACGAACCGGTAATTATCTCTTCATGTTTTAACTTGACAACTTTCTTACGCTGAATACATTTTTTTTCCCCTCTCCGTTTTCTGATTTTTTTTTTTTTTCTTTTGTTGTGCCTTCTTGTGTCCACCAGTCTTTTCAGAATGTGTTATTTTCTTTTACGAAGACGACATGCCGATCTTGTTTTGCCGACTTACGTGCCTTAGCATACTATTTGGCAACTACTCATATTATGCATTAATGTCTACGCTCTGTGGGTGCGGCCATATGCTTGTTTATTTTATTACTTTAGTAATACATGTTTTGTGACTCACCAATATTGGTTTGAGCTTTTCATTTCAAGCAAGGTTCTTTGACGCTCTCCTCGAGTGCGGTCACTTGAACTGGAAGTGATAAGCCTAAATCATTATTTGGAAGTCACAAATATGTCTTTGTTGCACAATAGGCTTCCGATTTCCCCCACTTAGCTGGGGAAGCGATCGTTTATTTTTGTTTTTGACAAAAATATGCCACGAGAAATGCCCCAAAAATAAGGGGAAAAAAAAAACACAACGGGCAATTGTGGAAAACATTTACATTTTTTGTTTTCCATAAAAAAATACCTGTAATATAGTGTAATTAATATATATATATATATATTACACTATATTACATATTTATAGAAATCCCCTTTATATAGTTTGGTCAGAGAGAGAGAGTTTTTTATTTTCCTTTTTTTCTTAAAACGCGAAACGGATAATAGTGGAAAACATGAGCACATTTGTTGTGTTCAATCATTGTCTATTTTGATGTATAATATTATAGGTAGTTATGATATAACACTTTTATCCAACTCTTTGCAAAGTAAAGCTACTGAACCTATGTAGTTTAAATGAATGATCGCTAGTATATTGGCCACTAATCTCCATGTTATAATTCACTATAACGTAAAACTGACAATTTTTTAATATTTTTTACCATTTTATTAAATATATTTGATAAAAAATCTCGTCAGATCGATCGCAATAGGTTGCTCCGCAACCCAAAAAAAAGGTCAGGGTTGGCAGTGCCACCCAAAATTGGGCTTGGGCACCCTTAGGAATCAGGGTATCATTATAATTTCACCCTGATTCGTACGAGAACCAGGGGTAAATTTGGCCTCAAAATACCTTTTTACATTACAAAGTCAGGGTATACTCCGAAAAGTGATCGTTGGCAAAGTAGTGACTGTCCAAAGAGGGGCCCCATGTGTAAGGTTCGACAAATGTCACTCTTTGATGTAGCAGATAGCGCACGGTTGATGCGAGCCCTGCTGCATCGTCCCTGACGCCCTACAACTTTATGGGTAATTGCCAATGTAGGCATACAAGCATGGGTATGCCTTCTTGTCTCGCCCACCCGCATCTGTGTCAAATAAAGATCGAAGGGGGCTGCTGCCATTGCAGGGTGCAACATAGGGTATGGTTAGTAGGTGTGGGGGAAGAACAAGTACGGTGACAGCCGAGGGTGTGTGCAAATGTGACACACTCGTATAGGCGCACTTGTGCGGCAACTGGTGTGTGAGAGATGACATATGGACTAGCCTTATAGTGTCCATCATTAAAGGCCTAAGCACTATTCTTGCTGCCTCCTGGGACACCCTTGCTTTCTCCATGCCCAAGTCTGGGGGAAACGGGAGAACCACCACAAAGATGTGCCCAGGCTCACACCATCGCAGCTCCTTCGGGGTGTTCACTAGTGAGATCAGCATTAGCCATGCCTGGCGTCGCCCCGTTGTAGACACGTGCATGCTGTCGCTGTTCACATTGATGCTCTTGGAGCACAGCATCCTGGGCGGCGGTAGTGAGCATTGGCCGGCGCCATGGATAACGATATGCGATGATGCGTCAACGTGCACCCAAAAGAACTAAGCACGTGAGCTGAATCATGGGTTCCGGAGTATGTGCATGAGTCGGTTGACCTCGCGACATGACAGGTTGGCATCCTTGAAGAAAAAGTACAGCTCCGTGAGCGTGTTGACCCCCTCGTTGTCAGTGGTATCATCTGTTCCGTCGGATCCCTCTGAGGAATGAGAGTTCTTTCCACTGGGGCAGCCGCAGGGACAAGCGTGACCCACGGAACATCCGCAGCAGCTTTATCCGGTGTAGACTGGGGTTGGAGGGACTGCTGAAGGCCTGGCACATTGTCGTTGGGAAAGTCCTCGCCACACATGTTACAGTACCTGTTCTCTACGCCAGCCCGTGTGTCTGACTACTCTCATGTGATGGCAGGATGTAAAATCTACATAGGCGGAGACTACTTGCCGACCTAGTGCAACGGCATTAGGGTTAGAGTCATGTGCGCGTGTACTGTGGCGGTGCTACACTTTGCACGCTACACACATTATTGGTTACAAAAACCATGTCATTCTTAGGTGATGTGACTTTCTCAAAATTGTCCAAGCAATGCTAATTGGTGTGGGAATAGTCCTACTCCAGAAACGTACTTTGGAATCACGAACGACACACACGAAGAATCGTGGTTATGTCAGGGATCAATCCATGAATTCATGAATTACACTTAACTGCGTTACAATACATAACTTGCATGTGCAACATAGAGACGGTCTAATGCAAACGGCAGCCCCTGGCATGCAGAGCCAGGGCCTCGTGCACAAGACGAACGGGTTGTATCCGTAGGCTGGCGCCGCATGAGAAGCGAGACCGATGCACACAACCTCTTGCACCACCATGGGCCTAGACCTAGCATGCGAGATAGCTCCCTGGGGCACAGTGAGGACTAAAGGCCTTGGCCTCTAATGAGGAAGTCTTCTTGTTGCATGTTGGAGGTCGTCGCCAGCAATGACGTCAGCTCCGGACACGGAGTCTGCAGTGGGGCACGAATAGGTGGCACGGACCAGACTTTTCAGCACGAACGGCAGAGCGTCAAGAGGTTCCAACCCACACACGCACGCGCGTGAGCAATGCTAGGAGGCACTGCACCTCCTGCTGCCGAGGAATGCGTTGAGGCATGCCAACAGATCGTAAGCACCCAACACCCTCTTTTTATCCACCGCTATGGAGTCGTGGATTTGCAGGATGGAATATACGATCGTCGCACACTTCGCAATGAAATGACCGTGCGTGTAGTATAACCTGGGAAAATATTCATCGCGCCTAGCCTTGGGTGGGGCCAGTATTTTAAAGCTCGCACTACGGATTGTCCAAGAAGGGGGGTTTGTTCAACACTTGAAGTGGTGTAGCAAACTTTTTACGAGGGGCGCGGAGGTTGGCAAAATTTTGTTGGGGTTCGCTATCCAACCAAACCCCCCCCCCCCCTGTTCAACTGCTAAATTTTTTGACAATCCGGACCCAGGGCTTTAACAGGACCAAAGGGGGGACGCTGAAGCAATTTGATTTTTTTTCGGGTTTCTGATGCATACGGTCTCTCCGCGGCCACCATAGTTCCAAACGGTTCTGCACCCACTTGAGTGTGTCTTCCCTCACTTCAGTGTGGTTTCCCTCATTGCAGTGCTTCTTCACTCACTTGAGTGTCTCTTCTCTCACTTGAGTGTGTCGTTTCTCACTTGAGTGTGTCTTCCTTCACTTGAGTGTGTCTTCCCTCACTTGAGTGTTTCTTCCCTCACTTGAGTGTGTCTTCTCTCACTTGAGTGTGTCTTCCCTCACTTGAGTGTGTCTTCCCTCACTTGGAGTGTGTCTTCCCTCACTTGAGTGTGTCTTCCCTCACTTGGAGTGTGTCTTTTCTCAGTTGAGTGTGTCTTTTCTCACTTGAGTGTATCTTCCCTCACATGAGTGTGTTTTCCCTCACTTGAGTGTGTCATCCCTCACTTGAGTGTGTCTTCCCCAACTTGAGCGTGTTTTCCCTCACTTGATTGTGTCTTCTCTCACTTGAGTGCGTCGTCTCTCAATTGAGTGAGTCTTCCCTCACTTTTGGGTGTCATCCCTCACTTGAGCATGTCTTCTCTCACTTGAGAGTGTGTTCCCTCACTTGAGTGTGCCTTCCCTCACTTGAGTGTGTCTTTTCTAACTTGAGCGTATCTTCCGTCACAAGAAGTGTGTCTTCCCTCACTCAAAGTGTGTCTTCCCTCACTCAAAGTGTGTCTTCCCTCACTCGAGTGTGTCATCCCTCACTTGAGTGTGTCTTCCCTCACTTGATTGTGTCTTCCCTCACTTGATTGTGTCATTTCTCACTTGAGTGTGTCTTCCCCAACATGATCGTGCATTCCCTCTCTTGAGATTGTCTTCCCTTACTTGAGTTTGTCTTCTCTCACTTGAGTGTGTCTTCCCTCACTAGAGTGTGGTTTCCCTTACTTGAGTGTGTCTTCCCTCACTTGAGTGTGACTTCTCTCACTTGAGTGTGTCTTCCCTCACTTGAGTGTGGTTTCCCTCACTTGCGTGTGTCTTCCCTCACTTGGAGTGTGTCTTCCATCACTTGGAGTGTGTCTTCTCTCAGTGGTGTGTGTGTTCCCTCACTTGAATGGGTCTTCCCTCACTTGAGTTAATCTTCC